CAATTGGCAGTTACAAATAATAGGATATACAGAATCTTCTTCTACATTAGTTTTCTAAGGTTTAAAATACAAATAGCACAGAAAATAGCAATTAACTTAAGGCAAGAAATTAGAAAACACTGATTCAATGAAAGAATGTTGAATAGCACCCAGAGAAAAAGACATTTTGCCTTTGTAGTATTGAAGGCCTAATCCACAGCTATCATTCCAACATATAATTGAGCAAATATGAAAGTTCTGCATGTTATTTTACTCCGCATCTATCACCAATCTAGGTCCAATTAACAGCATTTAATGTACAAGGGATCTGTTGGTCCACTGATGCTGTCCCATCTATTCAAAAATCTCAACTCCAGCTCTAACCATTTCAATATTTATTGATCTAAAGGCCAAAAACCCTGTTAAAAGAAAATGTGAAAGTGTCTAAGCTGAAGGTATTCCTACTTGTGTGAAAGCGTCTAAGCTGAAGATGATTCCTACTCGTGTGAAAGCGTCTAAGCTGAAGATGATTCCTACTCGTGTGAAAGCGTCTAAGCTGAAGATGATTCCTACTCGTGTGAAAGCGTCTAAGCTGAAGATGATTCCTACTCGTGTGAAAGCGTCTAAGCTGAAGATGATTCCTACTCGTGTGAAAGCGTCTAAGCTGAAGATGATTCCTACTCGTGTGAAAGCGTCTAAGCTGAAGATGATTCCTACTCGTGTGAAAGCGTCTAAGCTGAAGATGATTCCTACTTGTGTGAAAGCGTCTAAGCTGAAGATGATTCCTACTCGTGTGAAAGCGTCTAAGCTGAAGATGATTCCTACTGGTGTGAAAGCGTCTAAGCTGAAGATGATTCCTACTTGTGTGAAAGCGTCTAAGCTGAAGATGATTCCTACTTGTGTGAAAGCGTCTAAGCTGAAGGTGATTCCTACTTGTGTGAAAGCGTCTAAGCTGAAGGTGATTCCTACTTGTGTGAAAGCGTCTAAGCTGAAGGTGATTCCTACTTGTGTGAAAGCGTCTAAGCTGAAGGTGATTCCTACTTATGTGAAAGCGTCTAAGCTGAAGATGATTCCTACTTATGTGAAAGCGTCTAAGCTGAAGATGATTCCTACTTATGTGAAAGCGTCTAAG